GTAACCTAATAAAGGAAAAAAAAATGCTGAGATTTCTAACATCTAGGAAGAACAAATCTATCTTTGAAATTGTGAATAAGGAAAAAGAAATTTATACTAGTTTTGCTGTCACACCCCAAAATGCAAAAGATATAGCCCCAATGTGTGACAATTGCTTAAAAGGTGGAAAAGGCATTAAATTTGTACAGTAAAATATTTAGAGAGAGAGTATATTCACATAACTTTTATTAAACTATGTTGTTAAAATTATTTATTTTATTATCTGTTATTGTTGTTAATCTCTTAATGTGACTAATTTATAAGTGAAACTTTATCATAGGTATCTATGTATATATAGGAAAAACTTTATATGTAGAGTCCAGTACTATCCTGAATTCAGGCATCTAACTGGGGTTCTTGGAAGATAACCCCCACCAATAAGGGGGAATCTACTTGTATTCTTAGATATTGAATACTTTTTCATGCTCTTATAATTCATTTTAAAATTCAGTTGCTAATTTTTTGTTGTTGGTATATGAAAATGCAATTTTTGCTTACTGATCTACTCAAAGACCTACCTAGTTAAATAATTTACTAATTCTATTAGTTTGTATGTAGACTCTTTTGACTATTATTTTAATTTACATATTGTCAGAAACCACAAATAATTAAATTTTTATTTTACATTTTCTTTTTTTTAAAAGTTCTTTTTGTTTTTTGGATTTTTTGGGGGGTAATTAGGATTTTTTTTTTTTTAAATTGGAGATACTGGAGATTGAACTCAGGACTTTGTGCATGCTAAGCACACACTCTACCATTGAGCTATACCCTCCCCCCCAATTTTTTTTAATATATATTTTTATTGAAATATAGTCACTTTACAACATTGTGTCCATTTCTGGTGTACAGCACAGTACTTCAGTCATCTAGGAACATACATATATTCATTTTCATATTCTTTTTCAGTGTAAGTTACTACAAGATATTGAATAGGGTTCCCTGTGTTATACAGTATAAACTTGTTGTTTATCTATTTTATACATAATAGTCAGTATCTGCAAATCTCGAACTTCCAGTTTATCCCTTCCCACCCCATCCCTAGCTGGTAACCTTGAGTTTGTTTTCTATGTCTGTGGGTCTGCATTTTTTTTTCTTTTGTTAAGTTCATCTTTTTTCTTTTTCTTTCTTTTTGTTTAGATTCCACATATAAGTGATATTATATGGTTTTTTTCCTCTTTCTAGCTTAATTCCCTTAGAATAACATTCTCCAGGTCCATCCATATTGCTGCAAATGGCATTATTTTATCCTTTTTTATGGCCGAGTAGTATTCCATTGTATAAATAACCACAACTTCTTTATTTAGTCATCTATCAGTGGACATTCAGGTTGTTTCTATGTCTTCGCTATTGTTAACAGTGCTGCTATGAACATTGGGGTGCATGTGTCTTTTGAATTAAGGGTCCCTCTGGATATATGCCCAGGAATGGGACCGCTGAATCATATGGTAAGTCTATTTTTAGTCTTTTGAGGAATCTCCATAGTGTTTTCCATAATGGCTGCACTGAACTACATTGCCACCAGTAGGGTATATTTCACATTTTCAAAAGGAAAACAACTGGTGCACCATAGGTAAAACTGGGAACTTAAGGTAAAATCAAGGACTTGATGTAAAATCTGGCGCCAGACATAAAACAGGGGCATCAGATGTAAAGCCTGTGACTCCAGCAGTAAATGCCAGGGCGCCTGATGTAGAACCTCGGCTCCATCCACGTGGGACGGGAGGGGGTCTGTCCACGTGGGAGTGCTGACCTAATGCCAGGGTGCCTGACGTAAAACTGAGGCTGCGTCCACATGGAGTGGGAGGCGCTGCGCCTATGTGGAGTGGGAGGGGCTGCGTCCTCCTGGGTGCGTCTCCTTGGGGTGGGAGGTGCTCTGTCCACCTGCTTGCGCCGACGTAATGCTGGGACGCCTTACATAAAACCAAGCGCCTGGTGTAAAGCCAGGGCGTCAGACGTAATGCTGGGCGTCTGACGTAAAACTGTGCGCCTGACGTAAAGCCAGGGCGCCTGTCGTAAAACGGGGGCATTGGACGTAAACCCGTGACGCCGACATAATACTAGGGAGCCTGACGTAAAACCGGGTGCGTGACTTAAAGCTGGGGGCATGACGCTGTAAAACTGGGCACTTGAGGTAAAACCAGGCACCAGGTGTAAAGCTGAGGAATTGACATAAAGTTGGATACTTAAGGTTAAGCCGGGCACTTGACGTAAAGCAGGCACCTGACGTAAAACCTGCCATCTTACTTAAAATTGGGCACCTGACCTCAAACCGGGGCACTAGACTGAAGTCAGGGACCTGACATAAAGCCTGGGCACCAGAAGCACAACTCTGCATCTGCAGTAAAGCCAGGGCTGGGGCACCTGATGGAAAGCCTGGCACCTGAGGTAAAACTGGACACCTCACAGGTGTGAAAACTCCCCATTGGGAGATCCTGGCCCCTGGAATGAGGGCACAGAGATGGCACCTGCCAGTCTTCTTCGGAGAGAACCCCTGCAAGCTCTGGAATGTGTGAGATCAGACGCCTGCCCCCTCAGGCCACCGCTTCAAGAGCAGCAAGCAGAGCCTCTCCTGTACTCTGCGGTCATCCCTGGATGGGGCTAACACGCTGAGCCCTGGCCTGGTGAGTTTGAGTGCCTCGACTTCCAGAGCTCTTGCTCAGATGGTTGTAACATTTGGGTCTCGGGAAGTGAAGGCCCTTGGTTTTCAAAAGTTGATATTTTGGGGCTCATCTCTCAGGTACAGGTCTTAAAACTTGGGGGTGCCCCAAGTGGGGTTCAAACCCTTGACTCCTCAAGGAGAACCTGGGGTTTGAGTTCCCTCCTGACTGTTAGCAGCTCAAGGGCGAGGTTTATGGAGGCACTGCCCCAGCCTCTCCTGCCTGCGACATAAGCCTTGTTAGTTCCTCCTCCTCCTAAGCTGTAAGCATCAACATCTTGGACTGCAATCTCCTCAATAAGATTTTCTTGAACGTTCTACGTTCCGCTGTTGTTGTTATTGTTGTTGTTTTTATTAATTGGAAACTGAGGCCAAAGGTGGGCCAAAAGATTGCAGTGCAATGGTGGGAGCAGTTGGTATCAAGTGATTGGTATTTTGATTTAAAAGTCAGTGTCCCATCCTGCTGGTGTTTTGAATCACTTTAAGCAGGACGATTTCCTCTACTAGTTTGTTTTTAAATATAGAAATCAAGAGAAACAGGCAGCTTTTCTTCTGTATTCCTAATGTTCCAAGATAGCCTCATATTTCTTAGTAATATTTTCCTGATAGCATTAAATTAGATGCCTGGTAGAGGAGAACTATGTCCAATTCTCCATTGTATTTCTCCAGAACATGTCATGTCCCCTTAGTGGTGTTAGGAAAAAAAAAATTACTACAGGAAAATTAAGACTTCATAACAACCACAGAATATGTAAATGTTTATTCGCAAGGACTCTAGGTAAATTGCTCCAACAAATTTATAGAAATGGTTTATGTATCTCACAATTCTTTTTGTCTTTCTCACTTTAGTTAGACATAATCTATGTTAGTAACCTTAGCTTGACTTAGACTTCTGGTGACCCATACTTCCTGGTGAATTTCTGGAATCTCACTAATGTCTGTCTGATTACAACTCTTAGGAAACATGTTTTTGTTTTTTGTCTTCTCATGTGATGTATGTAATCAGAAGGGGTTAGTAGTCAGCAACAGGCTATCTTTTGGAATGAGCCAGTAGGATACAATTTAATACTTTCTAGAAACAGAGCAGAAGTATCATAGGCTCCAACCACCATTTTTGATAAAACTTTTTGTTTTAATTTGCATGTATTTTATGTTACATTTGCTTAGCATTGTGACTTATAAAGCATTTTCATTCTTAATTTTCATAGCACCCTTTTTAGGTATGTAGGGAAATGTGTTTCTAATCTAGTAGGCTTTTTTTTCTACATCATACAGATTTATCTCTGAATAGCCCAACCAGGCTGTAAGCTTTTGTAAGGCTGGAAGCACATTTTATACTTCTTTATATCACATCAGTGCCCTTAATAGGAAAAAGTAAATGTGTTTTTGTTGATTTATCCATTGTAAAATATTAATACTGGGTTACTCAAAATACCTAGATGACATGCCAGATTTGGTAAACTCTTTTAGGATTAAGCAAATGCTAAATTTTAAGGGTCTCAATCAGTCAATTCTCAATATATTTAAAGATGTGAAATCCAGAGAATTGTTATGAAGTCCAGTGGTTTGTATTTAACAAGGCTCCATGCCTAGTTAAAATTCAGCTTTATTTCATTTCCTGAAACCTGGTTTGTTCCTTATAATTTTGAAGGTAAAATTAGAGAGAAATTATGTTAGTATTTACAAATATAAAAAAATGCAAGAATTGGCTGTCATCTAGACTCTCCAGGAATTGCTTTGTAATTTTTAAAAAATTTTATAAAAATATATAAATAAATGAAGAGACAGTCCATCTGGAAATATCAAGCAAAGGAACAGTGCTGTTAGTTTATTCATTACCATTAAGTATTTTTGAATAAATGAAGTTTTTAGCTACTTAAAATATTTTCACCATGTTTGAGAATCACAGTGTTGAAGGCCATTGGAATAAGATGACATGAATCTGAATCCGGGTTTTGATATGATATTAAGCATTTGTCCCAGTGTCTGCAATTCATGATTATTATACCTGTTTCATGTGATATTTACAAAAATTAAATGAGATGATATGATTGTACTTTGTCAGCTGAAAGTCATTATAAAATGTTAACTATTATTTATTGGAAGTTTGAGGATTGGTCAACATGGTTTTGCATAACAAATTAACCCAAGACTTAGTGGTGTCAAGAAAAACCTACCATTTTATTTACTCAGGTATTTGGAAACAGTTTGACTAGGCAGCTTCACTAGGCTCCTGTTTGGAGTCTGTTGTACTGTTGTGATCAGATGTTGATTGTGGCTGCAGTCATCTAAAGGTTTCACACGCAGTATGTCCAAGATGTCCTCACATGACTGGGAGGTGAAGGTGAGGTTGGCTAGGACTGTAGCTGAGGTGATGGATAAAAAGCTTTACTCACTTTGAGCGTGGTGATCTCAGGGCGATTGTTTATTAATGAAGGCTTAGTTCCCCTGGAATGAGTGTTCCAAGAGAACCAGAGAGAAGCTGCCCTGTTTTTCCTTGCCTAGCTTTGAAAGTCCTGCAGCATCACTTCCCTTGCATCCCACGGTTATAAGCAGGTCACTAATAATAAAGGAGCGGGGATAAGACACCCATCTCTCTACAGGAGGAGTATTGGTGATATCATAGACATGTTTTAAAACATGTCTTGTCATTAGAAAATTTAGAGTAGAAAGAAAAATTAAAGGGGCATGTTTTGGAAAATGAGTTAGACCATGTATTTATAAATCCTTTAAAGAATAGTTTCCTCTACCTAATTATATTTTGGTGGTTTGGTGGTAATTGGGGGGAGGTGGTTTCCCAGTTTTTACAGAGATCCATCAGACTTTTAATGAAAATTCTCTATATTTTATTATGTCATGGGATGACTTGTCCCAAAATATCTTCTTGATTACTTAGCAGGATGCACAATTTCTTCCTGTAGCATTTCATTTGTTTCATCTATTTGAACTTTAGTGGCTTTGCCATCTTTAGGAATTCTCTAATCAATAGGCAAGTATTCCTAACCTTTCAGCAGTTTGATAACCTTATGACTTGATTCTATTATTAGCATGTATCTCTTTCGGAGGCCAATTATCCCAGCAGGTCATTAGGTTTTATCTCAGGCATCCCAGGTGAGGATTTTCATAGCCTGCTTTGTGGCAATCCCCCAGGTACCTCACAATCACGAGTTCTCTGTCTGGCACTCCTGTAAGCTGACTGCCAGGTGCGGTTTACTCTTCCAGAGAAGGATTAGCTTATTTGCATCCATATGTGCTTTGTCATGTAGAAGGATTGGCAAGGAAATTGCTGGTGGTACAATTTCTTGCCCCCAGGTGAAGCCAAATCTCACTGTGAAGTCCATTGGGCATATTTTGAGTACTGCCTGCCAAAGAGAGGCCTGTGCTGTTGCACTGTTCCCAGCAGAAAGCAAGTTTTTAATGTAAGAGCCTCAGAATTTCTAGAATTGGGTTAAGAAAGTTGAGGGAAGTGATGATTTTTGGGAGAAATATGTCAACATGTGTGTTTCATAGAACACCCAGGAGAATACAGCTAGCATGTCTTCTAGTGACATACATCTGGGGAATAATGTTTTTGTGATTATTGCTATTATTGTCAGCCCCTTTGTTAGAGCTTTTCTGACTCTTTAGAGCCCCTTCCACTGGGAACCATGTAGTGATAGGTTCTCATGGTGTCTCAGAAACCACACATCTACTGCCATGAGCTGACTGGGAAAATTATTTCCACAATATCTGGCCAGAAGAGAGAGATGTCAGAAAGTAGATACTGTCACAAAACAGTGTATGGTATTGATTACCTTGTATTGATTACCAAAATGTTCACAATGACCACTCTCTAACAGCACTTACTAACTATGGTGAAAAGTCAGTTCCTATGGCAGAAAGGATTCAGACATAAGGCAGTATCTGGTTTGATTTCAAATCCTTCTAATTCCTGAATGTGGGATGTAAGACAAGTCATGCTGTATCTTTAAGCCCTTAGTGTCCTCAACTATTAATTGGAAATAATTATTAATGATCTGAGAGATTATTGCCAACATTCAATGAAGTGCAGTGCTCTGTGATCAAATGAATGCTGGTGAAATCAACCAACCATATGATCACACGATCCCAGATTGTGTCAGAGGATTGAAGTGTGGTTGGAAATTATTGTTACTGTCTAACTCAGTAAAAATGTTAATTTCAATGGAACCCTGGTTGTTCAGACTAAATAAAATCAAGTGTTTCATTTTTTAAACCTCAAAGTAACCAATCTGAGAGTAATTTGTACTCCTTATTAGATAAGTCAGGAGTTAGTCAGGAGAAAGGAAATTACTCTAGGTATTTCAATTAGAAGGGAGTTAATACAGGGGATTAGGGGCTTTTAAAATGAATAGAAGGGTTAAGGGAGAATAATGTCTTTAGTTAGTTCAGGAATTTCAACATACCTCTGCTGATGCATTCATTTGCCCTCATCCCTGAAGTTGGTGATATGTAGGAAAATGTTCTGAAGAGCTTGACAAAGTGTCACGACTGCCTTTTGCTGAAACCCTCACTCTGCCCACTATTGCTTCATAAAATATCAGTAGCTGTTTCTTTTTCACCTTCTGCATTTATGTGGAGTGCACCTTGCTTTGGTTCAAGGGATAAAGAAGCTGATAAACATTCTTTGGAAAAATTTTGTATGTGGATTATTATCTGTTTGAAAATAACTTTGTAAACTTGAACATGCTGTATTATGGATGTTTTTCTAAAATCAAAAACAAAAACAAAATGCCCTTTGCTCCATGAGGTTCAGCCGTTAGAAGCATTCAACAGGGAAATAGTAAACTGACTTAAAAGAATATATAAGTGTATACAAATTCAATTTTGATTACGTATTTGTCAGATTACTGCTTTGTTGTTGACAGTGGCTGCTATCCAAAGCTTTGCTCTGAGTAGGATTGCCGAAGAAGCACAATGTGCTCACAGGGCCAAGTTGCTCGGCTCTTTTGAAGGGTGGATTCTCTGGATCTATAGTTGCTGGGCTTTGCTTTTATAGAAAAATAGTCAGATAATCAGGTTTGAGCTAATAACAAATCCAGCAGGCATGTGAACTGTTTCTTAACCCATGTTGGTAATTTGATTAATTGACAACATGGTGCATTTAATCTGTGATATAGTGAGAACAATCCATAAATTTTTTTTTTATCCCTTTAGGTGATTTTTCCACTTAGGAGTTTTACTCTGTATATGGGGAACCAGAGAGACAAGATATGGAATGGATATTCTCTTTTCAACTTTGAAGAAAAAGATTTAAGATTTTCTTTTTTAACTTGTGCTAAGCTTTGGGGGCTAGAAAGATGATTACTTTAAGGATCGGATCCCTTTGTGGAAAATTCTGTACCTATGTTTAGACAAAGCTCCCTCCTTTTTAAGCATCCCAGGGTGCTTATTAAGGCATTACAGCTATGTTCTCCCTTGTGCCTGCTTCCTTGAATATAATGACCAGATATAGACTCCATTGTGTGCTACCTTATCCTCTGAGGACGCTATCCCCATAATCATTTCCTGACTTCCTTTCTATAACTACATATCCATAATGTATTGACGGTATCCTTGGATTGCCCTTGAAGTGCCAAAAAACTAAAGGAAACAGGCTTTTGTCATTGGGAAGCTGCAGTCCTGTATAATTTGACTAGAAGTAGTGATTATAAATGAAATTTTGAACCAGTAGAAAGATGTGAAACCCTTTGGGATATTTGTCTTTATTTTGAGGCATCTGAACCAGTCTTTAAAGCTCTATTTATCAGCCCTTTTTTCCATCCCAGCCGTGACTGCTGACCCTGAGCTGACAGTGGAAGTTAAGTCCTTCTGTGAAAGTGATTTAGTGTTACTTCTACATGGATAAAGACCCAGAATCATGTATAAGGACAAAGAAATGGAAATCTGATGGCTCTCACAAAGCAGATGTTAAAATTATTATAATTAGTGGTAGATAATGTTTTATGTGTATCTATTTCCAGTCCTCTATGGAATAGAGGTAGGTGGAGCTCTAGAAAGGGTAGATAGTTTTTTCCTCATATATATCCATGAGTGTTCTGAGAACATTTAAGGTAGACTAGGCTAAGCTCCGATGTTTGGTATGTTAGGTATATTAAAGACTTTTCCAACTTAATATTTCAAGTTTACAATGGTTTTATCAGGATGTAACCCCACTGTAAATGGAGGAAGATCTGTACAGTTGACCCTTGAACAACATGGGTTTGAACCGTGAGGATCCACTTATACACAGATTTTTTTTTTTTAACAGTAAATACTACGGTACTACACCATCTGACGTTGGTTATATGTGTGGATGCGGAACTGTGGACATGGAGGGCTGACTATTAAGTTATATGTAGATTTTCAACTTCATGGTAGGTCAGTGCCCCTAACCTCAAAGGGTCAAGGGTCAACTGTATATTGTCCATAGACTCTCATGTTATTAAAGAAAATAAGCTTGAAACAATACTATAGTATATACATGTATATGTACATGTATATATACACACAGCTTTTACTTGAGAGTTTTTTGGGAAGTTACCAGATTTTTAATATGATGTATATTTTTAATTTGACAGAGTCAGAGTCAGATTTTGGGCACATGAGAACTCCATAAGGTCACATTTAGCAAAGGTGTCCACTTGCCTTTGGTCTCCATGAAAGACATGAACCAGATCATTAGCTAATGGGCCAGTTGTGATACACATAGGTGGTAAGTGCTTGCAAGAAAGAGTAATGTTGGGGAAGATATTGAGGAAAAAGGAACAAGCAGTCTTTACTTTCCCCTGATTTTCTTTGTAGAGCATTGCATTTTCACCTTCATTCAACTTCTCTGCACTTGTGTTCATGTTTGTTTTTCCTACTAGATTATAATATCCTTGAAGGAAGACTTAGTTCATCTTTTTTTCCCCTCAAAGCACCTAGCAGTTCTCCTTGAACAATTTCAGTAACTCAGTATCAGGAGGTGACTTAATGATTTGCTATACTTAAGCTAAATGGTCAGCATGCTTTTGTAAACCACCATTGTTAATGAAAACATTAGGTTATCAGAGTAATTATCTAGGTAATTAGGTTATCTTGATACTCTCAGTGGGTTGAATGGTGGCCTGCAAAGAGATATGTCGGAGTCCTAATTCCCAAAAACTGTGAATGTGATCTTTCTTGGAAAAAGAATCTTTGCAGATGTAATGAAGTTAAGGATGATGATGTGAAGAGATTGTCCTGGATTATCCAAGTGGGCCCTAAATGCAATGATAAGTTTCTTATAAAAGACACGTGTGAGGGAGATTTGACAGAGAGAAGAGAAAGCACTGTGACCATGAAGACAGGGATTGGAGTGATGCAGCCACCAGAAGCTAGGAGAGAGACATGGAATGGATTATCAACCTAGAGCCTCTGGAGGGACTCCCAGCCATGCTGGAACCTTGATTTCAGACTTCTGGGCTCTAGAACTGTGAGAGAACAAATTTCTGTTAAGTCACCATGTTTGTAGTAATTTGTTGCTGTGGCTCTAGGAAACTAAAATACCTTAGTTTTGGACTATCTCCCAGAGACCACCCTCCCTGTATTTGGAGAACCTGGGCAGTTAAGTGGAGCCATGGGCTTCTTGATGTTTTCTTAAATGCTTCCCAACCCCAGGCTGGAGTGCTCCTCCTCAGCATAGATTCTGGGGAAAAGGAAATGTCTTCTCACTGGAAACAAGAAACTAGTAACTGCTGCATAGTCCAGAAAACAGTTGGGGGTCAGGGTGGGGAGGTACTACTCTCACAACTTTCTGGTTCTTTTTTTTTTTAGACAGTTTCCTGGAATCCTACTTTCATTGCCTTTTGGAATTTAATCCCTGTAGGGAGACGGGTTGCTCTTAGACAACAGAGAATGTTTCAAAATAACACCTGAACACATGTATGACAGTGCAACAGAGAAGAAAATCATTGGGAAGGAAGTATTTGTATGTAGACAGAAGCCTCTTGGAGGAAGTAAGTCTTGAGCTGCAGTGTGAAAAAAATAGAGGAAATAAATAAGTGGCAAGTGGAAAGGAATACATTTTAGATGGCAGAACAGAAGGAATAAGCAGAAGGGATGAAACTAGAGCTGCTTGGAGGGAAGGTCGGCAGAACCACGTTGAATGCTAACTAGGGTGTCAGTTGCCATCAGAAGAATTTGTGTTTATTAATCTAGAGATTCTCTGTGCTTTGGTGAGGCAAGGTTACAAGCTTTTCAGGAGTTATCGCTGGTGGGGTGGATGATGTTGTAGGTCTCCTACCAGATCCAAGCCTCCTCCCTCAGCAAATCTTTCTGACTTACCCAGGCAAGGATAAGTGCCCTTTTCCTTGTGCACTCAGCACATAACTTGACCACTGCTGTGGAGTATCCCTCCTTGTGGTTTGGATTCCTTCTAACTTCAAAAGGCCCCCATAGAAATGTATTCCCAGCACCTAGCACTAGAGTACCTACTGGGCCTGGCTTCCAGTAGGTACTCTAATACCACTTCTTCTAAACTCAGCTGTTTCAGGAGTGACTCAAGTAGAGGATTAAAGACGTGAATTCCAGCTCTTAACAGCTGTTGTCTTCTCATAGCCAGGAGCTGTACAAAAGGGTTTTTTAAAAATAATTTTCATACTTGTGCAAACATGACCATGGTACCTAGTTTCTACACATGGCTCTCCCGGGTAGAAACCGTATCTTCACTGAGTCCAGGTAAAGTTCAGAGGAAACATGTAGCTGAAGGACAGGGAATTACCAATGGTTGTTGAGGACCTTATCATGTACTAAACACTTTATTTGAGATCATATTGAAAACTCATCAACCAATGTACCTTTTGTTTTTTATTTTTGTTTTCTTTCTTGTTTTATATTTTTTTGTCAGTGTCCCAATACACTTTTTATTTGTTGACATTGGTATGTATATTATACATCACTAGAGCATTTCACTTAATAAAAATGAATATTTACTTATGCTATGTCTGCCCTAGTATTATGGATCTCAGAATAATTGGACAAAATAGCTTACATTTCCTTATACCCATATTACTTTTAGTAATTGGATGAGAAAAAATACTTGAAAGAAATTGGAGGGCAAAAAGCAATATAATTTGACTAAATTACCTTTTAATCAAAGTATTTGATTAAGAATATTCCCAGATCAGGAGAGAGCTCTTTTCATGATAAGACTGCTACCCGGGTTAATGACTACAAAAAAATTCCAAAGTGTTTAAGACAACATGGTTTGACAAGTTTTGTAGAGATGAAAAACATACTTTCACAAAAGAGAAAAATATTTCAGAGTAATCTGAAGATAGTAGACTTGCATACCTAGTCTATAATTCCAGTTTGATTTAGATTGAGTATGATACTTATCAATGGAATAAATATTTGGTATGCAAAAGAAAGCACATCAAGTTGAAGCAAAGGAGGTATCAACTTTGTTTTAAATTAATCCTAAGATATTTGAGGGAAAGATAATTAGCAGTTAGACTTGAAGATATGGGAGCAATATGACAAAGCCAAAATAAGTAAGCAATAAAATAAAGGATAGTAGAACATTTCCTAAAATAATTACCTGCATATATTGCTTTCTGGAGAGATGAAGCAAACAAAACAAAATCCCAGATGCCTTCATTTAATATATATTCAAGTCTTAAAACCTTAAAATCTCGGTGAAAGGTCATAAACATTTATAAAGTGTGGCTTAAGAAATGTTATTAAAGGCCAAGCAGTTGCCGAAAGAATTATGCAAAAAAAAAAAAAAAACCACCCCTAAAACAAAAACCCAAAACCACACAAACCAAAAAAACCCTTGAGAATTCCCTTTAGACCTTTCAGAAATACACATATATAAGTGAAGTATGTGTGAAATAACAAAGAAGATATTTAAAGGGCCATAACCATTTGTTAGAATGAAAATGTAACGAGTATTACAAATATCTCAAATTACTTGTGTATATGACTACCTAAGCACTCCAAATCCCCCGTGTCTGCCTGTGATAAGGCATGCACATGAAAACAATCAAGGCTTTTGCTTAGCATCTCTGTAAAATAAAATTACTAGGTGTTCTTGGACCTTTTACATTTAATCTGAATATTCCTAGTAACTAAGGTGTGTATGAACGAGTGTTAAAGTGTGTGAGTGCAGGACAGTTTTGGCTATCATATTCAGAATCTTCACCTATAAGATATTTGAGGAGAATAGTACTTTTACCATATTTAATTTGTTATTTATTAATTCATTTATTTTATTTTATTTTTTATGGTGGTACTGGGGATTGAACCCAGGACCTCGTGCATGCTAAGCATGCACTGTACCACTGAGCTGTACCAACCCTACCCCCTCCTTATTTATTTATTTGAAGAAGGGAGAGAAAGAAGAGGAGAAGGTGGAGAAGAAGCAGGAAGACTTGAAGGAGGAGAAGAGGGAGAAGGAGAGGGAAGGAAAGGAGAGAAAGCAAGAGAACAAACTTGAGGTTTCAGTCAAATCTGGCTGAAAAATATAGATTCCTGGGCTTTATGTCCAGCCTCCTGAATTAATGAAAAATATCTTTGGTGGTTCTAATCTTCAGTACGGTTGGGGATAACTGGGCTACAGAATACTGAGATTGTCCATAGGTTGATCCTCCTGGGTCCTACTCTAAAGGGACCTTTCAAGTGTTAATGAGATTGTGTACTGGTGTCTCACAGTGCCTTGTGCCTCACTCCAGAAGAGTGAGGAGCATGGGAATCTCAGACCCTGTGATCAGGACATTTGGCGGAGTATTTTGAAATAGAGAGGACTTCCTAGGCTCCTAAAATTATAACAAACTCATTGAGCACAAGAAATGTGTCTTTTCCAGCTCTACCTCTGGTGCTCACTGGGGTGCCTAGTGTGGAACACATGATATTAAATGTACTGATTTAATGCGTTATTCAGGCTTTGTGGGTGTCACCCAAGGCTAAATACTAGTAGAGAACTTGATTTGTTATAAGTTATCATTGCCAATAGGAAAGCCCATGATGCAGGAATTAGATTTAGAAATAAATCAATCTACACTATAAGAGCATTGGTTGAATTTAAATTCAGGGAGTGACTTTTTCTATTATGCCCTCGTTGGAGCATACGAACCCAACCCATTTTGGGTGGGGTAATGGTTTTACAAGGAAGAGAGAAATGGAAATGTCACATGTAAGAAAACAGGAAAATACAATTACCTTATCAGCTTTCCTAATATTGATCCTGGGTGGGTAGCAAGCAATGGCTGATATCCCAAATCTAGGAGAAATTCAACCATATCTTTAGCTAGAATGAAATAGAAGATACCTACATGGTCAGATAACAAGGTTTAAAATAAGAACTTTTTCTGTTCGACTTTAATGAAAATAAAACAAATTCATCTGAGAAGGCTCTCACAGAAACAATCGCAAAGTAAATTTCACAAGGAAAGGTGGTAATCTTGAAATGCCTTTTTATTTGTTTGTTCAGAAAATTGTATTTTATAGTCTGACTCTACAAGGAATTAGAATATGATTCAAGTGTTTTAATATGCTTAAAGGATTCTTACTGCTGTGACTAATTTATATTTGGGACTTTATTAAATACTCTATAATGTAAACAAGGAATAATTTCAGTTTGAGTGTTTTGGTTGCCATAAAGATACAACAAAAGGATTCATAGAAATTTTGTATTTCACAAAAGTAATTTCGGGACCCCATACCTTTGTGCAAAAAAATGATAGGTATTAGCCCCTACAGTATTCTTTGTGCCTTGTAACATGTGGCAAGACATCTGATTTAGAGTCAAAGAGTGTTACATTTTAGATAAGGTAGCCAACTGTATAAACACATTGTTTCCATAAATTTCACACTGCCTTGTTATTCTGGCACCTGCTGTTCAAAGACAGAGGAAAGCTGAAGGAAATAAAACTCAGCACAAAATAAATAGCTCTTGAAAGAGGACTTCTGGGATGTACAAAGAGGTGGCACACAATGGAAAGACAAGCTGTGTTTTTAAAGGTGGGGGAAGAGCTTATTTTCAATAGAATATGATTATATTTATATCTGAGAAACAATGAATAAGGTGAAGTGAAATTCGAGAGGAAGAACAAAAGGGTTTTAATTGATTTTAGCTCACAGACTTCTAGAGCTGGAATGTATTTTATAGAATCCCAATCTTGTCATTTTACATCTAAGGAAAGTAAGTCTCAGAGAGGTTGGTGCCTGAAATTCACATGATTGCTGGTAGAATTCTCTCTAAAACTCTCACTTCTTTTATAAATGAAATGCCCACTTTATAAAAATGTCCACCTCATTTATTTATTTACGTATTTTTTTTTCATTTCTGGAGGAAAGATGAAAGAATAATCTTCACAAAACATTTGATTGATTTTGGCAGAGTGACATGCTGGAAATCAGAGCTCTTCCTTGAGCAACAAGAGGGCTGTCTACATGGATACTGAGCCCTAAGCCATAGTGCCTGTGGGGAGACTGCTCTGCCTTGTGGCCACAGCCCTGGTACCAGAGGACAAGCGGAACTGCTAAGCTCCCGGAGATTTCACTGTCTCATTCCTATCTCAGCTTACAAACATAGAGTCTAAGGGCCTTGCTGGAATGCTGGAGATTCTTGCAGTGTAAGCTGGTAGTGGAAGCCCTTCTGAAAATGTTTTTGAGAATCAGAGGTTGCAAATTCTAACTAGATGTTCAGCATCGACCTGTGGGACTTGGGGTGAATTCCTGGAGTCTTGGGACTTATGTCCCTGGGTAGCTGGATCACTGAGAAGAACACAGCTTTGGTTTGGATTTTGATTCTGCAAAGGGACCATCCTTATGACCTTGACAGACACTGAAATCTCTGGGTCTCTGTTTATTGTGAGGGAAAAGGACATCCAGCACATAAAATGCCCAGTAATGTCCTTCTCTGCCAAACACAGAGGAGTCAAAAAGTGAATTTTCATTAGTTTCCCTCTGAATTCCTAAAGATATTTTTTTGACTCAGTGCGGAATCTGACAGGAGTAATTTTTTTCTTGGTTATCTAATTTGCTGACTTGAAATTAAGAACACTCAAAATCGTTAAAAAAAAAGAACACTCAAAATCCTCTTGGATCACTCACATGATGAGATAATGACAATTTCATTGAAAACAAAGGACATTAAGTATTAATCACTATATAAATAAGTTTTTAATATTGGCTCCACTGATTTTCCCATCTTTATATCTAAATAAATCCTGGTTTAATGCTGTTTTTAAGATACATAATGGGCTACAATAATTCATAACACCCAGAGAAAGAAAAGAGTGGGTGATGCATTTTCTAACTTTATTGAGATATACTTAATATACAAAGAGTTGCATATATTTAATGTATACATTTTGATGAGTTTGAACACCTATCTAAACCATTACCATAAACAAGGTAGTAAATGTATCCATCAGCTCCAAAAGCACTATTGTGTTTCCTTGCTTTATTTTGTGGTAAGAACACTTCACGAGAGTTCTACCCTATTAACAAGTTTTTAAGTGCACAGTACTGTATTGTTAACTATACACTTAAAGTTTTACATAAGGATGAATAAGTTCTGGAGAGCTGCTGTACAACAGAGTTGTATGATTTTTAAAAATGTAATTATTCAGTGTAGAGTGTTTTGATTAGGTGAGTTGATCCAGGCAAACATTTTAGGAGAAAAAGAACATATAGAATTGTGGCTTCAAGTAAAAAAAATCACAAATAGAAAAAATTGGTAGGAACCCTAGATTAAAAACAAAAAATAACAACCATGAAAAAGAATATTACATGGATTTTTTTTCCTTTTTCGGATTTATTAGGTAGAATTATTGCAGTTTGACTGCATATATACATTATATTGTATGTAAATACATATATACAATATACTGCACATTTTTTTGTTTGCATATATGTACTGATCATTGTTTCTAAGAACAGATTAGAACTTTAGCTTTTAAACTTACATAGTTATCAAAGAAATAAAGCCAACCACAAAATAAGAATCAACAGAATGCGGTAATCCAATCATAAAGGACAGTCAAATGTGCTTACACATATTCAAGAAATCAGTCATCTAAGTTATAAATGATAAGTTCATTTGTGTCTTTTTTTTTTTTTTAGATTCCACATATAAGTGATATCATACTGCATTTTTCTTTCTCTTTCTGGCCCACTTCACTTAGAATGACTATCTCCAGGTCCATCCATGTTGCTGCAAATGCCATTATTTGATTTCTTTTATGGCTGAGTAGTGTTCCATTGTATATATGTGCCACATCTTCTTTATCCAGTCATCTGTTGATGGACATTTGGGTTGTTTCCATGTATTGGCTATTGTAAATAGTGCTGCTATGGACATTGGGGTGCATGTATCTTTTTGAATTTTATTTTTCTCCGGGTATATGCCCAGGAGTGGGACTGCAGGATCACATGGTAAGTCTATTTTTAGTTTTTTAAGGAACCTCTACTGTGCCCCATAGTGGCTATACCAATCTACACTCCCACCAACAGTGTAGGAGGGTTCCCTTTTCTCCACACCATCTCCAGCATCTATCGTTTGTAGACTTTTCAATGATGGCCATTCTGGCTGGTGTGAGGTGATATCTCATTGTAGTTTTGATATGCATTTCTCTCACAATTATGATGCTGAACATTTTTTCATGTGCCTGTTGACCATTTGTATGTTGCTTGTTTAGGTCTTCTGCCCATTTTTGGATTGGGTTGCCTGTTTTTTTGATATTAAGGTCTATGAGCTGTTTGTATATTTTGGAAATTAGTCTCTTGTCAGTTGCATCAATTGCAAATATTTTCTCCCATTCTGTAGGTTATCTTTTCATTTTGTTGATGGTATCCTTAGCTGTGCAAAAGCTTTTAAGTTTAATTAGATGCCATTTATTTATTTTTGCTTTTATTTCCATTACTCCAGGAGCTGGTTCAAAAAAATATATTGCTGTAATTTATGTCTGTGAATGTTCTGCCTATGTTTTCCTCTAGAAGTTTTATAGTATCTGGTCTTACATTTAGGTCTTTAATCCATTTTGGGTTTATTTTTGTATATGGTGTTAGAGGATGTTTTAATTTCAGTCTTTTACAGGTCGCTGTCCAGTTTTCTCAGCACCACTTATTGAAGAGACTGTCTTTTCTCCACTGTATGTTCTTGCCTCCTTTGTCGTAGATTAATTGACTATAAGTTCGTGGGTGTTGCATGGAATATGAATTACAGCAAAAAAGTAATACCATTTATAGTTTCAATTACATCATAAATATTTGAAAAGTGCTATTAGTGTTTCTTGATATTTCCACAGTTACTTTCTACCAAAGGATTAAAAAAATGTACTTTCAAGATGGTCATCATTCATTCAGCTTCACTCATTGAACTCCTGCAATCTGGCAGAAACTATTTAACCATACATTGAATAAAACTAGAGCTTTAAATGTTTAAATGAAATATTCTGGTAGGGCAGAGTGAGACAGTAAATAAGCACATAATATGCTTCTAGGTACAGAGAAATATTTTGAAGGCAGATAGAGGGGTCCTGGTCTGTTGGAGATAAGCTGACCAGGGCAGGCCTCCTTGAGGACGTGACATTGGAGCAGAGATCTAAATTAAGTGAAGGAGCCATGTGGAGTTCTAGGGGAAGGGCATTCCAGGTACAAGGAGCAACAACAAAAGGAAGCATTTTTTTTGCAGATAGGAAGGAGCATGTCACGTACCTAGAACAGAAGGAAAGCCAGGTGATCCAGAAAATGGAGAGCAGAAGGATAGGAAAACAAACAAACAAAGTGTAGGCCATGGTTTTGTTCTGAATGTAATGGGCATCTGTGATGCTTAATTTTATGTGTCAACTTTGCTAGTCTATGGTGCTGAACTATTTGATCAAGCACCAGTCTAGATGTTGCTGTGTAGGTACTTATTAGATGGGATTAACATTTAAATCAGTAGACTTGGAGTAAAGCAGACTGCTCTCCATGATGTGGGTAGGCCTCATCCAATCAGTGGAATGCCTTAAGAGAAAAGATTGGAGTAGCCTGAAGAGGAAGGGATTCGTCCTCCAACCTGAAACATAGAAATTCTGCCTGAGCTTCCGTCCTTTAGACTCAAGACTACAATATCATCTCTTGCTGGAAGTTCCAGACTGCTAGCCTACCCTGCAGACTTGCCAGCCTCTGCAACTGCATCAGTCAATTCCTTAAAATAAATCTCTCCTTCTCTTTCTCTCTCTCTGTGTGTGTGTGTGTGTGTACATACACACACACACATCCTATTGGCTTTTCTTCTCTGAAGAACCCTGATTAATATAGAAGCCATCTGACTGATTTGAGCAAAGGCTTTATATGATCTGATTTGCATTTCAAAAGATCAGTCCTATATCAAGGAGGGAGAATTGACTCTTGGCAGCAAGTGGAAAACAGAAAAACTAGCTAGGAGGCTGTTCTAGTCCTGTGGGTGAGACCTGACAGTGGCCTGGAAGTGATTGGAAGTCACTGGTTTTGAAAAATATTTCGCAGGATTTTCAGACAGATCAGATGAAGTGTGTGAGAGAAACATAAATCAAGGCTTACTGAGCAGCTGTATGAATGGTATGCTATTTATAAAGACAGTTTTGGAAGCCTGGGTGAGGAACAGGTGTGCAGAGGTGGAAAAGGAAGGAAGGGAAGATGTATTAAGGATCTAAAGTTTTATTTTGAGCACATTAATTTCACATTGCCCATTTGCTGTCCAGATGGAAACATCAGTTAAATTATTAGGTGCAGCCACAAGCTGCTGTACAATAGTAGTTAAGAGCCCAGTCTCTGGAACCAGAATGTTTAGACCTCACTGTTGTGGTCTTTTAATCTGAAAAATGGGATGATAAACATACCTTATTGATGTGATATGAGGATTAAATTAGTCAACATGCATAAGCTTTTAGAATGTGCCTGAATGATCATAGGAAAAGTTATGTGAATGCTAGCTATTATTGCAGTCAGAATTTTATCTTTCTATCCCATCAAATAAATTGCTAGATTGAGTCAGGGGCCTGGGGAATGTTTCCCAAGCATGCCTGCTTTGTTTAGTTTTTGATTACTAGCTCAGAGAGGTCAGAACACGAACAAGAATTGGGTGAAGCCAAGTGTTTACTTCCCTTTGCCCAAACAGTGAGCACTTTTGGAATGATGGTGTCAGGAAACTGTGCTTTAATAAAGCACACTTTTGTAGCTGATTGCAACATTAGCATGTCTGATGCCCCACTCCCCCCACTCTCCCCACTACCACCGTCAGATACCTACCTGCCTTCTCTGCTTTGTTTTCTTCATTGGGCTTGTCACCTTCTTATATTCCATATATGACATGCTTTTGTTCTTCGTTTGTTTGTTTTTTAACAACATCTATTTCTTTTTAAAAAATTTTTATTTTATTGAGTTATAGTCAGTGCTTATTTATTTATTTTCTGTCTCCTCTCGGTAGAATGTAAGCTCTAGGAGGGCAGAGATTTTTGACTATTTTTGTTCACTTAGCACTTGGAAGAAGGCCTGGCTTAGTCAATATAGGAGGAATGAATAAGTGTTTATTGTCCCTTTCATCTGTTTCTTATTCTGTTTCTTCAGATATTTTCCCATGAGGAAAGCACATCAAAAAGACGGCTGGACATTAATATGATTCTCTGAACCTTTCTGACTTGTGCAGAATGTCAGTTTTCATTGAGACAAACCTTCTCAATGAAATGGAATTTCAGAGGAAGCTTCTGATGGCAGTTTCAGTTTTGACTTTGAAAATCAATTCTGGAATTGACATATGGTCCCCTGAAAGTGATGGTACTTTTTTGCTGTTGGCTGTCCACTCTGTTTCCCTGTCAGTCTAGGTGTAGGCAGTATTCCACTCCAATTGCAGGTTCTGATCACAGATTTTTGCTCAGCAGTGCTTGTCGATGAGAGGCATTGAGAGCTGTGCTGGGTGGAGGTTGATACATGGACAAGTCAATCTATGACTTATGAGACTTATTGTAAGTCCAAGGCACCGTATTGATTCTGCAGAATGGACTGGAAACTGACCTTCATCTCACAGAACCCTCTAACTTGCTCCTCGTCTGTTTGTTCCCAGTGGAGCATTTGCATCGTGCAGCTTTGTTCCAAAATCATTAACTTTTATTTCCCTTTAATTTTATTTCCCTTTACATTCCATTGTGATTTTACCACTTGTATGAAGAGTGGACAAATGGATGTCTTTATTTAGCACAAAAGCATAGATCCTGTTTCAATGTCAGCTTTTCAGAGGCAGTTAATTTTATCTTCTCTCACATGGTTTTAGTACATAGATACTGTTTTCTTGGACGAACGGGCATTGTGTCAAAGTAAATTTTATTTTATCCTTACACTACTTGTGCCAGGACTTACTAATTATCATCCTTATCATACTTACTGCAAGTAGTATTTTAAAATATTTAAAAATTATCCTGATCAGATTAATCTTAATATTATAGCTGTTGTTTTATTTCTCATTGTGGTTGTACCAACCAGCACATCATGGCACATAGTTGGAGTTCAACAAATGATGGTTGAAGTGAGTTAAATATTAATTCCTGAGGCTATACGGGAAGGGGCATTGCCAGTCGGCTGCTTTTAGGTTTTCCTTTTATCTATAGAATGAATGATAGGCTGAAATAGGACTCCTCATTAGCCATTCTCTTTGTTCTTGAAAGTAGGTGTAGACTGGACCTCAAGAAAAAAAACCTGTTTCTGAATTACGTTAGGATCATTTTGTGCCTCTAAATTCCAAGCATGTTTCACATCATCTAATGATGAAAATTATAGAATGTCTGTTCTAGCTGGAAGGAAGCCTATAATTCTACTAGCGAATGTTCAGTATATAGATAACTAGTGGAGACTGGAAATTTAGCGATTTACTCCAGCCCTCAGAGCCATCAGCTCATGTGAGAAGGAAATTCATAGCTCCCACCCTCCACCATAATATTAGAGCTTGATTTGGAGGTAGTTACTCGATTTCCTGGGCATTATCTAAGGCAGAACATTCTGAACAAGCCTGCATTCTTTATCAGAGATGACTAGATGCTCTCACTGAAGCCAACCAGGCAGGGATGTTAGTCTATAAATTTGGTTTCTGCAAAGCACATGCTGAATCACTTTCTCATGGCTGTTGATACCCAGGTCTTTGCTGTTGCTGTGTTTAGTTCACCTGAGGGGGAAAAAATTGAACCGAGCAACAGAAGATATGTAGACAATAAAAAAAAAAAAAGAAATAAACATTTTCCTCCCCTAAGGTTAAAAGGAAGGAGAAGGATTCAAATGAAACCTTCATTTATAATAAATGTCATATCTCTTGCCTTGGCTCTGTGATGTCATTACTATTGTTTATATAACATTTCAGACTCTGCAGTCCTCAGTACTGAGATGCATCAAAGGGTGGGGAGACTCACAGCTACTGTTATATATCAGTATAGCCATTTTATTTGTACACAAATGAGCTTATTATATAGTATGTTAAGTGGTAAGTGCAAAAATAAAAATAAAGAAGGAAAGGAGGAGAGGTAATCTTTCTGACAGGTGGGC